AATATAAATATTTTGTTTCTCTAACAAATATAAAGGCATATACTTAAGGCCAGCTATAAAGGTTCTATGGTCTAAGCCAGATATGTAAAATGCAAATATTAATATTAATATGAATCCTTGAGGATTAATATGAATCCTTGAGGATTCAAACTTTATGGCATTACCAGCTATTACATCAGTATCAGTTAGCATGGCAATAGGCATGGCTAGGATGGCACTGAAATATGTTTTTAGTAATACACATTAGCGGAGAGAGGGGCAGGGATAGGTCAATATAAAAAGAGAGTACTGCAAAGATCCCAGGAGAAAGATACTGACAGAAGAGGTGAAATGGATTTAGACTCAAATTAAACACATTTCTTAATTTTGCTGAATGCCGCTCCTAGTCATGCCACTTAAAACTGATCTGGTGACACACAAACCACCACCGTGTAGGAACACCTGTTCCACTCTGGGTACTTCACAGAGCTTCAAATTCAGATTGCTCATTTTAAGGACAATGCTGCAAGACACGCAGGATCAGCCCTCTCACATAAGGAAAGAGGCTCAGGGACATGAGTTCCTACTTTTCTAGGGTCTCACAGAACAGGTAGAGCCGATATTCCAAACCAAAGTCTTTGTTCTTCTCACTACACAGCCTGACTTCAGGACACAGATCCATTTCCAAGGTCTGTTTTCCCAGCTTTCAGGCCCTCTTTGTCACCTCCCAGTGGCCACATTGTAAAGGCCTCCAGTGGAACAAGTCTGAGCACTGAATAGTGGCAAAGTCTGTCTGGAAGGGTCTTCCTTTCTCAATTTCCATCTGCTGCCTATCCCTGGCATACTGCCATTTGCTGAATTGTTTTGTCAAATGTTTAGATACTATGGTGACTGAGTAAATAACTGAAGTATGTTGTTATAGCAACCATCAGAAACTTACTCTAAATTTGTATCTTACAACCATTCACAATTTATGCCCTAGTTGTTGCTAGGGGATGGGTGGGGGTAAAAATGGGGAGTAACTGAGTTTCTTTTTTGGGGGATAAATGTTCTAGAATTAGATAGTTATACAACTTTGTGAATATACTAAACTCACTAAGTTGTACACTTTATAAAGGTGTATTTCATGGCATGCAAATTATAGCTATGTAAAAAAAAAAAAAATTTGTGGCTAAAATCAAGAGTCAGATATCACCAAGTTCTGGAGAAATGCGGAAAAATTATAACCCTCATATAGTGCTGGTGGGAGTGTAGCCAGTTTAGAAAATAGTTTGACAGGTCCTCAAAAAGTTAAAAAGTTACTTTATGATCCAGTGATTTTACTCCTATGTATATATAACCCCCCAAAAAGAAAACATATGTCCACACGAAAACATGTACGCAAATGTTCACAGGAGCGTTATTCATAATAGCCAAAAAGTAGCAACAGCCCAAATACCCAGCAGCTGACAAATAAATGAAATGTGATATATCCATGCAATGGAGTATTTGACCATAGGAGGAATAAAGTACTGATACATGGTGAATCTTTCAAACATTATGGTAAGCGAAAGAAGCCAGTCATGTAAGACCATACATTGTATGATTGTATGATTCCATTTATCTGAAATGTCCAGAGCAGGAATGCCTAGAGAAAATAAAAGTAGATTAGTGGTTGCCTAGAGCTGGGAAGGCTGGGGGGTGGGGTTGAGGTTGGGGTGGGGGGTGGAGAGGACTGCTAATAGGTATGTGGTTTCTATGTGTGGTAATGGAAATGTTCTAAAATTGACTGTGGTAATGGTTGCACTGCTTTTTGAATACGCTAAAAATCACTGACTTGTACACTTTAAGTGGGTGAATTATATGGTATGTGAATTATATATCAATAGAGCTTTTAAATACTTATAAGCTCATTTTTATTCATTTTTGGAATATTACTTATCTAAAATTATGCCAGTGAAAACTTGATGCAATGCAGCCTGTAACCCTGTTTGGTTGACTATATTGAGGGGATTCAATTCTCTTAAAGAAAAAAATAACCCCATAATATAATTATAACTGGATTTATGTGAGGCAAAGTTAAAGGTTTTAGCAGGTTTATGGAAATGCTGCCTTCAGAAAAATCTATAAATAATGACATCTCCAATTACTATTGCTCTATTTGTTTGTTTGTCTTTGTTTTTTGTAACAGTACTAGCTTTGGGATACATGAAAAACAAATACTATACATGAAACTAGGTAAGGCAGCATAAGAGGCAATAAATTTACCTTAATGTATGTTTTTGTTTTTTTGGTATGTGCCCCTAGCGAGAACTGAACCCAGGACTCTCTGGTCTGCAGGCTGGTGCTCCAACCGCTGATTCAAACCGGCCAGGGCTTAATGCATGTTTTTAAAAAAAGTAGTGAGAGAGCAATTACCTACAACAAACTTATTTTTGGTTTGGGACTGAATGTCATGTTTTATATATCATGTCACATTTTTTTGTTTGTTTATTTGTTTTTCTTTTTTCATTTTTTGTTCAGATAGAGTGGGAGGAAGAGAGAGAGAGAGAGAGAGAGAGAGAGAGAGAGAGAGAGAGAGAGAGAAAGAGAAAGAAAGAAAGAAAGAGAAACAGCGACGCGAAAGGGACACATCGAGTGGCTGCCTCCCACACAACCCAACCAGGGCCGAAGACAAACTGCAACCGAGGTACATGCCCTTAGCGAGAACCGAATTCGGGTCTCTCTGGACCGCAGGCCAACGCTCTAACCGCTGAGCCAAACTGGCTAGGGCTATATATCATGTCACATTTTAGAAACTACTGTTAACTACTGTTAAAAGAAAACTACTGTTAAAAGAAAAATACTCATTTGCAAAATCTTGAAAATGTACTTATTTAGGATGTTAAAATTCCACACTAAACAGAAGAATAAATATGCCCATGTCCAGCACATATGTCTGCACTGTTAGTTTTGACACAGAGAATGGATTATGGAGAAGCAAGATGGGAGACATCTTTTTTTTTTCCTTCCCCTAGCGGGAACCGAACCCAGGACTCTCTGGTCCACAGGTCGACGCTCCAACCACTGAGCCAAACTGGCCAGGGCTAGATGGGAGACATCTTTAGGGGGCTTCGGCAGGACTCCAGCTCAAGATGCTGCTGCTGGACTGTGGCAGTGGAGATGGAGAGGAATGAGCCAATGGAGAGATCCCAGGGAGATACAATCCCGGAGACTCGGTGACTGGATACGTACTGAGAGAGGACAGGCCCACTGGTCTCGTAGGGTAACCATTCTAGGTTCCTTCCAGGTCAGAAAAGGGTAATTCTACTGTCAAAAATATACTTTCATTCAGTTTAAAGTTATTTTGCACATCCTGACTTATCTTCTTTTAATTTAACAAAACTTAATGCACAAATGAAAATGTGCCCCTTATCTATAGAAAACTCTACAGATATGCTAGAGGTGAATCACCATACTCGAGTGTAGACTATACCATTTCTATTCAGAAATCTAAAAAATTCACTGCCTGGAAAGGAATTTTACAGACATATGTATATGAACATCATCATTACACAAATGAGAAAACCAAAGTACATAATAATTAGGCCTCACCAAGTGACCTAGAACCAGAAGATTTAAACTTAGGTTTTACAGCTCTTAATTCAGTTTTTTTACACTCTTATACTCATTTTATGTAAGCTACATTAAATAAGTTTAAAACTGATCTGTATAAAGACTACTCCTGTTTTATAAATCATATTATTTCAAATGCTTTAGGGGACAGTAAGTCTACACATACCTGCTCACTGGTAGTAAGTACTACACAACTTTAAATTCCATACTCACACCTGGGGAACTGGACTGAGGTCACGGAAGGAGGAATAAAAGGAGTCATAACCCTGAAGCTATGCCTGACCCTTGCACATATGCAATTAGGTCTCAGTTCTTAAAAACTTCACAGATTAGAGAGGCACAGCCAAGTTGCCCTCGAATTATACAGAATAAACCAGTACTATGTATATCACCTGCTAATTTAGGTCTTCTAAGAAAATGCTTTCACATCTCATCAAAATTATGCTTTAAGTCCAGTAAGGAAAAGCAAAGACAAAGGGATCAATTAACCAGAAAGTCAAATTATGAGTTACATTAAAAAGTTACCAAGGTACCTTACAGAATAGATAAGGACTGATGTGTAGAAACTGGAAAGTTTTAGCTTTTATGCCAAATAAAAAATACAAATAAAAAACAGGATATGGACAGATTGACTATATCTCTAATCAGCCAAAGCAGCAGATGAGAGGGGACAGTGCACTTCACCCCTAGAGCGTGATGCCAGACTGCTGGCCCGGGTGAGCGGCGCTGCACCAAGCAGTGCCAGAACTCTCCAGTCCCACGTTCCCGCGAAAAAATAACCAGAGGCGGCCTTTTTCCAAGGCTGCCCTGTCATTCAGGCTAAACAGTCCATAACTCCAAACTTTAATTGCCAAACCACATACCCAATAAGATATACTCTGAATTACTCTGTAACCAAAGTGATTATGAATAATTAAAGCTTGATGTCTTACTCAACATTATATGTTAGTATATATTATTCACCTACTGAGTGAGATGCAGAGATTCTATAACGAGGCTGAGTAAGACTGTACAAGCACATAAACTCACAGGTTAGAGATCAAAGCCACAGTGATGACAGAATAAAATTTTTTAGGCGAATAGTGGTAGAATATGGTCTAATTGATAAAGGAAAAGGACTCTATATATTTAAAGTATCTAGTGTGAAAACATGTACAAAGAATGTGAATTTCAGCACATTTACTACAGCAAAATGCTGGGAACAGCCATAAAGAAATGGTTAAATAAGCAACGCTACGCCCACACAGTGGAATGCTGCGGAGACACGTCACGTGCACAGCATGCCACACAGCTGGATTTGTACGTGTGACGGTAGAACTAGCTCTGGAATATATTAAGAGAAGAAGAGCAAGATGCAAGACAGAATACACAATATGGCATGGGAAGAAGATTTATTTTCAAGGAGTAGTATAATTAAAAAAAAATACCTGGTGGTATCTTCTTAGCAGTGCCACTTTTGCTTCTTGAACTTCTTTTTGCAGGTGTTTTTTCGTCCTTTTCCAAGAAGTCCTGTCCATCACTGGGGCCTTCACAAGGAGTGTTTTCTGAGTTCTCACTTGCAGCCGCCTCACAGCTCGGTGTGCAGCTTTCATTATTGTTGAGACTGTCCTGCTCGGACACTTCAGGTTTGCCCATTGCACGGTCACTGCTGCTCAGATGATCACGCCCACCCCCGTCAAGTCGATTTTCATTTTCGTCGGATGCAGAAGGCAAGCATGATACTATACTTTCCACACTGTCAGCAGGAAGACACCCATCTTGTGGTTCTATCTGAAGATTATATGTAGGTGTTTCACTGTCATCCATTAGAGCATCTTTTGTTGAATCATTTAAGTTTCATTAAAGTCCTTCCATGTCTACAATGACAAAAAGAGAAAAGCTACTTTATTTTTTAAATTCTGGATTCTCGGTGACCTTCATTTTCCTCTTCTCTTGGGTTTGCTAAGTCAGAGAGAGCAGGAAATGACTGAAGCTCATGCCTGCTACCTCTTCCCCACCTACAATCCCCCTAGTTCTCGTTTGAACACAATGGTTCTCAGCCCTGGCTGCATGCTTACTACCTGTGGAGTTTGTCAAAGTCCATCCTAAATCTATTAAATGGCAGCCTCTGTGGACCAAGCCAATAGAGTATAGATTTTTAAGTTCTGTAGGCGATTCGAATGGGCATCATGTTGGGACCACTGTCTCAATGAAATAAATTACTTGCTAAATAAGGTTATCTGCTAGAACCAATCACTCATGTTATACCTGGACACTTAACCAGACAAGTGAAAGTTAGTTGTTTAAGTCCCTGTCTGCCCAAACACTAGCAATATTTGCAAATAAAAACATTTAGATATATTTTTAAATAAACTGAAAAAGGCATGTGGGGGAAAATTCAGGTAGCATATATTTATACTGTTCTATCTCTTTTACTTCCTAAAAATAAGGCCTGGAGAAGTACCTTAGAATTGTTAGCAAATTCCTTTTATACAATTAAAAAAAAGAAAAGAAAAAAGAGGGCCATGATTAACTCTAGGCTATCTAGTTGAAACTACAAAAAAAAAGTAAATCTGTTCCAAGGATCCTGCTAACATTTTATTTCATTTTATTTTATTTTAATCCTCACCCAAGGATATTTTTCCATTTATCTTCAGACAGAGTGGGAGGGAGAGAGAGGGAGAGAAAACGAAACATTGATGTGAGAGGGACACATCAACTTGTTGCCTCCCACATGATCCCAAGCAGGGCCGGATGAACCACAACAGAGGTACGTGCCCTTGACCAGAATTGAACCAGAGACTCATTGGTCCTCCGGCCCACGCTCTACCGTTGAGCCAAACCAGCCAGGGCCCTGCTAACATTTTAAAGATCTACAAAATGGATTACAAGCCCTTTATTAGTCATGTTTTATCCCCCCTTATCAAAAAGTACATTACATTTTAAGGGAAATGGTACCAGACAGATTTAGATTTATTTTTATGCTTGACAAGCATTATTTTGGGTTTGAATCAAATATAATATTCCAGTAATTCTGAAAAAAGTCTTAAGTAATTCTTCTAATTAATAAACAGAAATGCTTACTTGTTAGACATGTAAAGTAGAATTCTTTTTTTTTTTTTAATCCTCACCCAAGGACATTTTTGCATTTATCTTCAGACAGAGTGTGAGGAAGAGAGGAAGGAAGAGAGAGAAACATTGATGTGAGAGAGACACATCGATGGTTGCCACCCACACACCCACACTACCTCAACTGGGACCGGGGACAAACTGCAACCGACGTACGTGCCCTTAGCGGGAACTGAACCTGAGTTTCTCTGGTCCATGGGTTGATGCTCTAACTGCTGAGTCAAACCAGATAGGGCTAAAGTAGAATTCTTTAAAAACATCAAAAGGAAGTATAAACTATATTATCAACTCTACACAGTATCATACGCTTTCAACATATTTTACAACTGGAATGCTTTATTTGATTCACACATAAAAGTACTGCTTGGTAAACATAAAAATATCTAAATCTGGCTGGTACCATCTTCCTTGAAATATATTCTACATATCTCTACTGATAAGTATGTAATATAAAAAGTAAAATGATTTAACTTGACTAGAATAATTTGGTGTATACCTAAGAGAATTTCTAAATAGGGTATAATATTTTTGTTGTTGTTAATCCTCACCCAAGGATTTTTCCCTCCATTGATTTTTAGAGAGTGGGAAGGGAGAGGAGGAGGGAGACAGAGAGAAACATCTATGTGAGAGGGACACAGTGATTGGTTGCCTCCCGCAGGACCCCAATCGTGGCCAGGGATCAAATCTGCAACCCAGGCACATGCCCTTGACCGAACTGAACCTGAGACCCTTTGGTCAGCAGGACAGAGCTCTAACTGCTGGGCCAAACCAAGCAGGGCTAGAGTGTAATTTTTAATTTAAAAATAGTTATTTTATCTCCTGGCTGGTATAGCTCAGTGGCTGAACATTGACCCATGCACCAAGAGGTCGCTAGTTTGATTCCTGGTCAGGACACATGCCCAGGGTGTGGGCCAAATCCTCAGTAGGGGGCATGCAGGAGGTAGTCAATCCATGTTCTCTCTTGTTGATGTTTCTATTCCTCTCTCCCTCTCCCTTCCTCTCTCTCTCTCAAATCAATAAAGAAAAAACATTTTTTTAAGTAGTTATCATTTTAATGAGATCTTCAACTTCACTCTCATGAGGGAATTCAAACTCAAAAACTTTAAAAGTATATGTGGTTAAAACAATAAAAACAACCCAAAAGTCCATTAACGAAGAACAAATGTGGTAGATTCATAAAATGAAACATTATTCAGCCATGAAAGGAATGAAGTTCTGATAAAGGCTACAACACGGATGAACTTTGAAATCATTATGCTGAGCCAAGACACGAAACGAAAAATATTCTATGATTTCACTAACATGAAGTATCTAGAATAGGCAAATTCATAAAGACAGAAGATGGATTAGGAGCTGCCAGGGGCTGAGAGCAGGAGGAAAAGGGACTGCTTCCTGGCGGCAGATCTTGCACAGGGTGATGGAAAAGGTCTGGAAACAGTGGTGAGGGCGGCAGGGCAGTGTGAGTATAATTAAGGACACTGAATTGTAGTCTTAAATGTGGTTAAAATGGCATAGTTTATATTACACATATTTTACCACAATAAAAATAGTGAAAAAATTTATATGGCTATATAGGATAAAGGTCAACCATTAAAACTGGTAACAGCCTCAGTTATTTTCGAATTTAAATGATCAAACCACATTCTACATGTATTTGCAGTTGAGAAGTATAAAGGTTTTACTTTTACCTAAAAGAGACTCAGAGATCACATGCCAAGGAAGCCAGTGGGAAGCAGAAAACAGTCCAGAGAGCCCCAAACAGTAACAATCATGGCTTATTGAGTGGCTTCCATGCATTAGAAAGTGTGCCAGGCACTTAATGCAACTATATCTAATCCTCCGAAGAAGCCGACACGGGATGTATTCATTCTGTGTTTCAGATGAAAGATAGTATCAGAGAAGCAAAACCCACTTGTTTAAGGGCGTATTCCTGGAAAGAAGTGGACCTGGATCTGAAACCAGGTCTCTCGTGATTTGAATCTTGTGCAGTACAGCATAATGGCTGAGAGCAGAGGACACGGAGGCTCAAATTCTGCCTCTGCCATTTAACAACGGTATGATCTCAGGATGTTCCCTAGCGTCTCCAAGCTTCCATTTTCTCATTTGTAAAAGAGGAGAATTAATACCTACCCTCGTGTCATTTTTGAGGCTTACACAACAGGGCAGGTAAAGCACTTAGTGGAATGCTTGGCCCACAGTAAATGCTCAGTGAAAGGTAACCATTATTACCTCTAAAAATCTCCAGGTTGGCCCTGGCCGGTTTGGCTCAGCGGTTAGAGCGTTGGCCTGCGGTCCGGAGAGACCTGGGTTCGGTTCCCGTTAAGGGCATGTAGCTCGGTTGCAGTTTGTCCCCAGCCCTGGTTAGGTCGTGCGGGTGACAGCCACTCGATGTGTCCCTTTCACGTCGATGTTTCTCTCTCTCTCTCTCTCTCTCTCTCTTCCTCCCTCTCCTTCCCACTCTATCTGAACAAAAAATGGAAAAATGTCCTCGGTGAGGATTAAAAAAAAAAAAAAAATCTCCAGGTTGGCATTAAATGCTGGTAGGTTTGCGCAAGCAGGTCCGTAGCCTTCCTGCGTCTTTCCAACCTCCCCTCCAGGAAAGATTAGGTTCTTGATGACAGACTGACGTTAACAAAACCATTTGAGAATGCTGGGAAGTATTAATCAATGATGGGATATCTGATTTAGTTCCTTACATGGAATACCTAAATGTCTCTGTTCAGCACACACACCCTGTTTTCAGATGATTCAGATACCCAGAAATGAGTGATGAAGGCTCCTAGGTGATGAAGGCTCCTAGGTGAGTATAAAATTACAGATTCTATTTCGCAGTTTTCTTGAGTGTCATGTACTAGGCCCTTAGTAAAACTCTTCAGGCCAATACTTTTACTTAATTACTTAGCAGACAGATAATTACTTAGCAGATAGGTGATTTTAGCCCCATTATACTAATAAAGAGACCAAGTATCATAGCTTGTGAACAGTCATTTGGCTAGCAAGTTTAGAAATAGAATTCTAATGAGTTATGATCCTGAGACCATAGTCCTGATCATTATGCTCTACAGACAATGGGGAGGTATACTCCAATGAAGAATCTCCACCCTATAGCAGAAGACAGAAGCTCGAGAGTCTGGAAGTTCTCTCTTGCCCTGGAAAGTGCTGGATCTACACAATATTCCACTTCCTATGTAGCCTACCTTCTTCTGTTGAGAATTATTTTTAATAACATACTAATATACTACTTAAGTAGCTATTACCAGTAAAGTAGGTGTTCCTTCCTTTGGGCCTCAAGACATTTTGCCTATTATTTTGTAATGACATAACTAGTTTAATTCTCAAAAGGTAACTTTGTAAACTACTTTTTAATACTGACTCTTATGGTCTTTCCAAGGTGTGAAAGCCTTAAAATTATTCCTACAAGACACCTACCAATTTTTCAAGTCTTGGCTCAAAAGTCACTTCAATTTGTTTACCCTGACCTCTCCATTTCAAAAGACCCCTATGATAAAATACCCCTCTATAACAGTCTGTACCAGCATATAGTCCTTCCCAAATACTGTCCTATATTGGATAGTTTTGCATATGTGTTCTACTAGATGTAAGCAGTTTGAATACCCATAGCCCAGCCACAGATAATGTTTATTCTTCACAATGTCTAGCCTTGGGACTTGTACTTACAGATGTATGGGGGAGTAAAGGAACCAATTTTCCACTGTTCCTTTCTGAAAAGGAAAAAGTCAGGCACATG